CTTTTTGTTGCTTTGTGTTAGCTTCTGTTCTTCCATGGGTCCGGGAAGAGGAGCTCAGCTGAGGGAAGCAGCAGTAGCTGAGGCAACTGGAAACCCTGTCAACCTGCCCTACCATTGTGCTTGATTGTGTCTTGGCCTCTTCTGTAGTTGATGGGTGAATGTAATGCAGTGGCTGGTGCGTGTGCTCTGGGTCTGAGGTTTTCATTTTTTTTTTAAATGTGAAAGATTAAAAAGGATGGAAAATAAATGCGTGTGTGGTACTTGCTATCATGGCTGAGGCAGCTGCGACAGGAGCACACAGGGCTGGGAGGGAGAGTGGGAAGGAAAGAGACAGAAACAACATTGCAGCTGGAGCTGTACAGTAAGCCTCAGGCCACTCTGCACACCTGAGCTCCAGCCCTCATCCTTCAAGCCCCCCAACTGGGGCTTCTCCAGAAAACATAGGAGTTGCTTTAAAATACTGAAATCTTAGCACAACATATGTTGATGCTGTAATGCCATGTGTTCAAACCTCTTTCTGCACACCCTACCTTTTTTAGACTCAAAGTCCCCCCCTCAGAAAATGCCAATGCTTAGTTTTCACTTGTTTTTTGCCTACAGAAAAATAATAGGGCAGTTTTCTGCAGCAAAGGCCTCAGAAAGATCAAATGAGCTCAGAATGTCTCAGGGGGGCCCACACTTGACACTGGTAGGTGTGTAAACCTTATTCACATAATAAACCCAAAGATTGCCTATAGGAATCCACCGTGTTAAAAACAGTCTCAAGGGACCCCAGGTGCCACAGCACCCTGGCCAAGGCTGTCAGCTCTCCATTAATCTAAAAGCCACAATCACTTGACTCAAGAACATGGGGCTTCAAGAAGCCCCATCCCTTCCACAAAGCATTATCACTAGTGGGCACTGTAAAAGGGATGGGAGGCTGGGGAACACAGGCATGCTCCCACCTTTCCCACAGGGAAAGAGACAGGCAGTTAATTTAAGTCAATATGACTGGCTCCAAGCACAGCCCCGCTTGGAGGATCAGGGACCAGCAGCCCCATCTGATGCACTAGGTACACCTGTGTTTGGTTTCTCAGCTAGGTGAGCCAGAAACCTGTGACTGCCTCTAGCTTGGGAAGGGAAGCCTAAAAAAGTGCTAGTCTCTGAGCCCACAACTGTCTGTGCTTTTTATCCAGTAACTGCCAAAGGCACAAGCAGGGATTGCTTCACCCTGGTGACTCCCTAGGGAAGTGAACTGCTCCCGGGGCTAGAGTCAAGCTTCATTCTTGATTGCTTCAATAGGAGGGACCAGTAGGGCAGTCTTTTGGTAGTGGGATGACAGAAGGACTGAATCCCATTAGATTCACAGTGCCCAATTCACTTGGGCCATGGGGATCCTCACAGCTCTAGCTAGGGCAGGGGTGGGCAAAATGCAGCCTGTAGGCTGGATGTGGCCCGCTAGGCCAGTCTATCTGGCCTGCGGGGCCCCTAAAAAATTTAGAAAATTAATATTTATCTGCCCCTGGCTGCCTGTCACATGGCCCTCGATGGCTTGCCAAAACTCAGTAAGTGGCCCTCTGCCTGAAATAACTGCCTGCCCCTGAGCTAGCTGGAATCATCGGCTGCTGGAATTCACCATCCAGCACAAGATGGCAAAGGTCTGCAGCAAGGCAGCAACCCTAGATTTCAGGAGGGCAGACTTCAATGAGGTAAGGAGATTAGTCAGGGAAGTTCTGAGGTCCCAGAAGGGAGGGGAGCCAGGTGTCCAAGGAGAGTGGTCGCTTCTCAAGGAGATGATCCTCCAAGCCGAAAGGGAGGTAATCCCAACGAGGATCAAAGGAAGCAGGAGGGCACACAAGCCCCCATGGCTCACCAAAAGCATCTGGAAATGTCTCCTAGCTAAAAGGGAGGCGTACACCCAATGGAAAGGAGGGGGCATCACCAGGGATGACTGTACTGCAGTTGCTTGGGGATGTAGGGGGGCAGTCAGGAAGGCCAAGGCAGAGATGGAACTGGGACTAGCTTCCCAGATTAAGGACAATAAGAAGTCCTTCTTTAAATACATAGGGGGTAAAAAGAAGATTCCGGGTAATGTGGGGCCCCTGCAG